GTAGTGATTAGGGTGGGATGGATTTCCCCTTTCTGCAGACCCTGAGACTTTCTCATTATGTTCAGGATGAAATCAAGATCTGTTCAACACCAAGAAGGTATTTCCCAATAAGGGAAAGATTGAAGAGAATTTATTTGCTTTATCAGTATTTGCCGTGATGCCAGTCCTTAGTTTAAGGAAAATAACTATTAAGAAAGCAACAGAATCCTATCATATGTTCAATACCTCTCTCATGTTCAGTGTGAAATCAAGACCTTTTAAAAATCAGAAAAATCCATTAAACAGTGTTTTAGAGGTTAAGGTGCTTGTTCATGATAGTGGTAACATGGCTTTAAGTTTCTTCTGTCCATGATACGAATCAGCATTATATATCTGAGATGAGTGCTCTAATGTCTCTATGCTGCTTTTTGTTCTGGAGAATGTATCTCAAAATCTCATAATGGATAAATTTCACTTGAAATTAATTGGAGCAGACAGCCAAAAAGAGATGGTAGCAGAACTTGGACTGCACGATGCTTACCTGGATAAAAGATGAATAGACTCAGCACCTCGTTCAGTTATTTATAGAAAGTAGAAAGATTCTGCATTTTGCAGAAATTAAAATATCTGTATCGGTATTAAAACATACTGAGAAAGGGATTTGGCAGTTCTTGCTTTACCAAAATTGGAGCATAAGCCTTTAGTCCAGCAACAACTAAGGCCTAAATTGGGGGAGCACTTCTATGGAATAAGACATGATCTGATCTTTTTGAGAGTAAGATGCAATATCCACTCTCTTTTATATGAATATCCTTAAAGAACAACCACCATTAATTGTGTAAGATGATGATTGCACACTGTATAAACTACAAAGTAGTCAGTTCTTCGCGTGCAAATCCGTGCAATTTGTAATTTTGCATTTGATGCTTCAATAAATAGTGCATGTGAAATAAAAATGTAATTGCAAAGAATAAATTGTCAGCCATGTAAAAAAAAGTAACCGATTCAGTAATACTTTTTGTGACAGCAACAGAGGAATGCTTTGGCCTTAAGCATATTACTTAAGAAATAAGGATCTTAAATGTAGGGTTGTACTCTGTCATGTATGTGACATTTGAGGGCTTATTAGAATCAAGAAGTGCACAACTAAGGTTCTTTGAAAAAGAGAAAAGAACTTTAAGTACCAAAATGTGAATATGAAATAAAGGTAAATTAATTTTTTGCCCAGTCCATTTATTTAAGCATTAATTATTTTTCATCATTTCTAATTAATAGACAATGCATTGTTTAAATAGGGTAGTAATTGTGTTTTTTAAAGACAACAGAAGAGTGTCTTTAATTGGAAAATCAAATTTTGCTGCTGAAATAAAGATCCCATAGTTTGGAGTACTTCCAGGTTAATGTATTATAGAGACATCTGCAGTGAATACTGCAAATCAATGCAATGAAGGGTTAATTGTGAAAACTGATACAAGTTTTTTATTTTCTTATAAATCAAGAGGTTGGTAAAATGTACACTTACTGTTGATCATTAGAATACAAAACTATCTGTTAAAATCAATTAACATGCATATCTGATGACTGATTGTATAAATATGAAAGTCAAATAATTGTCATCGTTAACCATGGCTTCAGGTCATATGAGTTGTCAGCTCAAAAAAAACTAGAGGAGAAAGAGGTTGATTTGCATATATTTAATGTGGCATGCTGTACATGTGGGAATTTGAGATAAACCTTTGCTAATAATCTGCTTGTTTTTATCTAAAAATCTACTAGGAAACGTGGGTCATAACAGTCAAATGAGCTATGTGTTGTATTGATAGCAGTTGAGTCAGTAGTTTGGGATTTAACATTTTGTTATATGTTTTAATATTTTAAAATTGATTTTTTACTAAGAGACAATTGGAAGAAGCTGGTAAAAAGTTATTCAAGAAATACTCAAAGTTCTTACCTGGAATGTACTCAAAATTATCCTGTAACTGATTGTAAGACTGGGTTACTTTTACAGTTTTTAGTTAGACTTATAAAATATGTGTAACAAGCACTTCTTTGCTTTTTATGATTAAAAAAATCAGAGATATATTAAAAATCTTAATCAAGTACTGTACTGAGTCACAGAAGTATCTTTCTATGTGAAGTGGACCAAACAGATAATTTTTAATTTAATTGATCAATTGTAATAAATAGAGGGAGGGAAGTGTGGCAGAGGAATGAAGCTTCTGGCCTGGAAAGGATTTACGTATTATTTAGGTTCCTGAATATAATAATCCATTGCAGTAATTTTTTTTTCATTGATAATGCAAAATATTCTACATAACTTATAACAATTCAAAGAATCCTTGAAATGTGAGTCAGAATATAGTGGTCAGTACCTTACATTACCTATAATTTGGTTAAGCGTGTCTGTCCAGCCTTTCTCTTTTCCCCTGTGTTTACTCCTGAACGTTAAAAAAAAAAAAAAAAAAAAAAAAAAAAAAAAAAAAAAAAAAAAAAAAAAATCCTGTCCTAAATTTTGAAATTATATGGTAATCTCTTTCTAAAATTTCCTCTGGTTCCTATGTTCATGAGTTCCCAAAGGGAAGAAGCAGCAGTATGCAGTTTCTTTTGATCTGATCTGTACCTGCAAACTAAGAAACTTTCTGATGATGGCAGTATCAAAAGCTGGAGAATAGAAGATCTTGTTGCTTGGTGCTTTTTACTGTGAGCCTTATTTGTAATTTTGCCGTTGTAAATATCTGAAATTTGTTCTTGGGTATCTGGTACAATCCAGTTCCTTGCATTATCACCCAAAATAACTTGAGTACCAGTAAGGTGGCCTCCTTAATGTAGCATTCAGCTTCTCAGCCTGGGCAGAGTACAGAATGCATGCAATTACTCTATTTCTGGTATTCTTGCTCTGTGAAGTACACCTGAATGGCACTGTCTTTTGCTTTAGTCTTCTGTGGACCAGTCTTTTGCATGATCTGTTGAGTAAAGGCACCTATACTATGTTTGAGGGCTGGGGGGGAAAGGAGTAGTTGGCAGAACAGAGGAATGGAATCAAATTCAGTCTCTGTCCTTTACCTCTTGTGTAGGATGGAATTTGCATTTGATTGCAAGAGGGAGAAAGGTGGCTGTATCCCAGGTCATTGGCTGTTTTGTGTCCGTTCTTTAAATGATTTGCATGTCTATTTGAGCAGGGAATTATGACCCTCTAACTTAGACAGAAATAGTTGTGTGAGGAAGTCAGTTCTGTAACCATAGATTAGAAGCCCAAATTAAACAGGAAAGCAATTAAAAACTAAGGAAATTTTGAAGGGAAGAAAACAACGTGTTTTTAAGACATCGGTGACTGTAATTACGGTTTTAGGTCTACTGTAGCTCATTGGTGAAAAATCACTTTGCTACCAGATGCTGCCAAGCCGTAGATGAATGAAGATGATCTATGACTAAGTGGTACTTCCTAGAGAAGGTCTGATTCCAGAATCTCAGGATCACTCCTGAGCCATTGTATGTCCCAGTAATCCTCAAAATCTTTTAATGTGTGGAGGTATATACTGCTTTTACAAGGATCCATTACTTCAAAAAAGAAGGATTTGGGGTATGTATGATTTGTTTTGGGGGTAGATGGGATTTGCAGAGGTAGTGTGGGAATGAATTGTCATTCTCAAACAGGAATCTGGGCACTAAAAGAGAATACCTTAGCAAAAAAAACCAGTCTCATTTGTCCCACTTCAGAAACATACATGGTGAGGAAAAAAGTGCTTCAGATTCCTTAAAATATAGAAGTTTTTTGTACTCTTGTGTTTTGGGGCCTGCAGTGTTATTAGCTCAAAGGGGAGGTATGCTTTTTCATGATGACTATATTTAGCCAGGAGGAATAGTCCTTTTTAAAGCAAATTGAAATGGGTGTATGAGAGCGTGAAATTATCAGCAGCGCTGGTGCACATTTACATTACTTCTACATACTCTTTTGAATGACCACACAACAGAACAAGTACTTCATTTCCACTGTGTTGATTTTTCTTGACAAAACATGGCAGTCTATCCAAAGGAGGGTGTTTAGCCAAGATAAATATAAAATTTATGATTAAGCAAAGTGTTTCCTTATTATAATCCCTGAAGAGAATTTGAGACTTGTTAAATATAATGTGCCCAGGTAGTTTTAAGAGTAAATTATCCTTTATGCTTTTAAATGCTGAAATACAGCAACACCATCAACCATTTGAGATCTTACCAGCAGAAACAGCACTGCATACTGATTTCTTTTGAACCAAGTAGTAAAAAACCATGCATATATACAAGATGTAACCTCAGGTTTGATGTATTCGTTTGGTTTTACAGTCCTGTACAGAGATCTAGAATCCATGTCAGTGGCATGGTTTATAAAACCATGTCTCGCTCTTCCCTGTAATGAATGTTACGGAAGAAAGCAAATAAACCTTTTTGATGGAATGGATAAAAATTGGTAACATGATTACACTTCTGGCACATTTCTTTAACTGCTATATTTACAGAATACCACTTTGAAGAAAACTTTGGTGACTGTCAATACTATTCATTAAAATAAATGGAGAATGAAAACTGATTCAGGAGATGAGTGAATTTTGACCTTTGTGGTGCCAGTGTTGGCTTTGGAGTGCAGTGTTCAAATTAAATTGTGAACGTACTTAGATAGTGGAATTAAATGATCTCACTGTATTCTTTCAAGGACTATGAACTTCCAAAATCAAGGATAACATTAGATGTCAGCCAAGTATTTTGTCCTTCTCATGGTTTGTCTTTACATCTGAATTAGTGCCAGTTTGCACAGATTGTGTGTCAGCTTAAATACAAGAAACAGGCCTCAGTCTGCTTGAACTCGTTCCACCAAAGACTTCTAAAAACTTTTGGTAGTCTGCAAACTGTAATGGTTGTTTCACATTAAGTTGCTTTGTAGAATTATAAAACAGCTTTTCTTGTGCTTTCAAATAAAATGTTGTCATCTGCTAATGAATGAGATACCATCTGTAATAATTAAGGTTATTCTACTTGTTTTCCCCCTGCAGCAAAACTTCTGAAGGTTTGCAGAAGACGGTAAGAGAACCACCGAGAAGGCTATTGTAGTATTGTAAGTACTGCACCCAGGAAAAAAAAAGAAATAAGTGAATTAAGAATGTTATAAAGAGATTTTCATTTTTTGGGGGGAAAAATGAGCTACATAAAGGGATTACGTGTAAAATACAGAGCAGGATGTATTGTAGCAATCATGTTAATAATTTACAAGGGAAAAACTGCACTCTTGTAAAATCTAAAATTGTATCCTTGTGCAGTGTAATCAGGAATTTACCAATAGCAGTGAAAAATATTTCTCTATCCACTAAAGATTGATCTAGTTTATATACATTTGTTTATTTAAAACTATCAGAATTTAGAAAATCATTGTAGTTTTGTAGCTGTGTCATTTGTTTTAGTGACTTATTGTTTAGGTTATTTTGCAGAATTATTTATTTGCTGATTTATTTATGTATTTCATTATTTATTTATTTGATTATTTAGTAAATTATTTATCTGATGAATTATTAATACATCTTCATGACATGCTTTAAATTATTTATAACTTAATTTTGAGTTTATTGCTTTTCGACGCTGCATTGTTACTGACTAGTTTTGATTTTTTTTTTTCCTTGGTTCTTGAAAATTAAAGTACTAGCTCTAAGGCAAAAGTATATTCTTTGCAGAATCCATAGATGGTTTTCAATGAAGTAATTTACCATGTAGATACTAATTTTGTTTAGCTTTATATTGCTTAATATCAATTTTCTACCTATTTATCTTTTGCTACTATTATTTCATAGATGTGTCAATATCAAATGAGTGACCTTTAAAGAGCAAAGACAAATGTTTACTTTAAAACATGTAAAAACAGAGTAGTTCTATTTTCCCCTTAAAAAGTACTCTTTAATTATTCTTAAAGTTAACTTGAGATATTTTTGTCCCAATAAAATGGAAGTTTTTTAAATTAGACTCGATATTTGAACTAATACATTTAACTTCTAATAAGAAAATAACATAATATTCACATTAATAACTCATATGGAGAGTTCCTTTTTAGCGGCAAGGCTTTAAATATATGGGGAGGAATGGTGTTATCTTTAGACACATGCAGAAGAAGATACGTGTTGAGGGGGAAAGGTGGGTAGTAGAGTTTGTTTCCCCACAGTGTTTTTTGCATGCATAGGAATTTATAAGCTCCGAAAATCTAACATGTCTGTGTTGTTGTATGTAAACTAGTCTCAGGTTCTGTGTTCACAAAGAATCATTCCTAGTGCACAATATGTTGTTGTGAAGCCTGTTTTTGTGTTGCTTTCTTTTGCCAATTAAAAAGGTCTGAAATCTCATCTTTTACTCCAAAGAGGCTTGAGTGAATGTGTAAAAGCAGTGTAAGGGGCCAATTTTAGGCTTCACGTATGAGCACCAGCTCTACGGAGTTCAAAACAGTTGCCTGGGATCAGAATTTGACTCGGAGTCAATTCTGATGGGTTTTTCAGGACCGATGAGCCTCTTACCTGAAGTTGCCTATTTGACCTCAGTTCCCAATGAGTGACTCGTTGGGCAGTCTGAAGCCACCTTGCAGGAGAGCGCTGTGACTGACAGCCCTGTTTCAGAGCTGTAATGAATAGGGCAAAGCAGCAGTTCCTCTGCAAAAGTGCCGTGTGCATAACGTGGCCTTTATTCTATGTTTAGTGCTTGAAATGAATTACTATATACTTTAAAGTTTTAACACAGCATGGAAAGGCTGCATTGTACATTTCAAGTTTCAGTGCTGTTGAAATACAGTAGAAATGGCCTCTGTAGACAGGTTTCACTATAGAACTTAAATTATGCATGTGTATATCCAAATTCCTTATTTTGAAATATTGAATGTATGAATATTTAATTTGTATCTTGCTTTAGTATCTTCATATGCTTGCCTTAAAGGAAGCTGTTTCCTTTGATTTATATACATGGATAAAAATGTGTGTACAGTATGTATCAATGGTTTTTCTCTCTACGGTGTTAGATGAACAGCTTTAGATAATGATAGCTACTGACTTTTACTCTGCAGCTTGCTACCATTGTGTAAAGCGTAAATTTGTCATATTTGTTCTATTAATCTTACTTGAATTTCAAATTCATTTGCTTTCCAGAAATATTTTCTTAATTACATACGTTAAGAAAAGTCAAGTATGTTGCAGATCTTAACGATGCAGTATTTTTGGTCTATGCACAGTAACAAAGCTCTGAATATTATTATTTGGGGCAGAGTTCCAATCTGAAATTTACATTTCTCCTTATTTGAATGTTTTCACTGAAGCTGAGAACTCCAAGGGAGTTCCTCAACATATACTAGTTTATGTGACATGCTCTATGAAATTTAGTACAGTCACTCTTATTTCCTTATGTAAATGGGGTCTTATTGTTGGATAAGACCTATTATAAGCAGTTACAAAGGTAAGTGCTGTCAATGCATTCTGCCACCAGTTTCTCGGAGTATGAAACACTTCCTGAAAGACGTGCTACTACTGTTATAGGGTAATATAATGCAGCTTATGTGTTGGCACTGAAAGTAGCTACTTCATAATGATGACAAGTGAAAGTACAGCCAAAGGTCACATTAAACAAGAGATTCTTTCACACCTCATCCATTTTCTGGATGTGGTATGAAAATAGCTTTGTTCCCTACACTTCAGTATTTTTAAAAAGAATTTATCTTGAAATCATTTTTTATGCCTTGTATATTACTTTGTTCACGTTTTAAGAGACGGACTGTGGAATTCTAGCATGCTAACTTCGGTGCTACAAAAGTATTTGAAATTAGCCTAGATTTTGGGTGCAATTAGGCAACATAAGTAGTATTTCATCTCACTACATTTTTTTGGTTTGCGAATTTGCTTAAAGGCATAGCTTTAAGTTCTAGAAAAAGAACTATTAATGTGCAAAGTGGTATTTATATTGATGTTGCATGTCTAACTATGGTTTTATTCTTTTTTGTATCTTTTAAGAAGAAAGATATGGACTTTTTTCTGAAAATTGCAGACTGTTGTTCAGAAATAGGAAAAGAGCAAACCTATCCATGTTGACAGACTGTTTCTTAGCTCTGTTTTAAAGAGATCGTGCCAGTAATGTGAAAGGATAATTTACACTGTATGCTCATCAGTTCCCCATCTTATACTGAAACGGCCAAACAGGATGCTAAAATAAGGTGTCATTTTAAAAACGTGAATAGTCACATATTAGATAATGAAAACAAAGCTGGCTTGTTTCACAGAGGGTGCTGAACAGTTAGGAGATGCTGGTTGGGAAACCTAAATCTGGTGTATTATTGGTAGGTGTATTTCTGTTCTAATCTAACTCCATAGAAATCGCAGAAGCCATATTAAGCTCTTCTTCAATTTATTCCATACAGATAAAAGAATTTACATCTCATGAGTCACATATTTCCTGTTGTATCTTTAATACAGCCATTTTTAGTATTTTTCTTGCCTCTCTCCTCTGTTGGTATGCTTAGAGAGTCTGTGTGTAGGAGCTTGTTTTTTCACCCGTGAGGCAAGGAGGAGTTCAAATCAATAGCAGTGTGTTGTTGACACTAAACGATGTTTCTTCTTGCCACAATAAGACTTGATTTTGTCATCCTAATGATGCTAGCTTGCTTCACAGAATAGGGATCAGCCATCTCTCAAATCAAACTTCACAAGTATTAAAAAAAGTCCTTTGAAGGAAATACTAGAGAAATACTCCAGTATTTGTAAGCAAACACATACATTGGCTTTGTAAAATGAATATTCAAGTTCTGTTACACTTTAGGGAAGCTTCTTTGCAATGCATTTTGGAAGTCTTACGTTAAAGGATGTAGGATTGATCAGAGCTGACAGTGATGAAAGCATGATGTTTTAAAAAGAAATGATGCAAACATTATTTAAAATACAAGTTCATGTAAAAGATCATAGTAAGACCTCAGCTAAAAAAACCCCACAAAACAAAAAACCTCAAGCTAGTAGAAATTCTTTATGTTTCACAGAAAAATCTTTGCAGCACTGCCTAGAAAGAGGATATCTGCAAGAGGAAAAAGGTACAGCCAGCAAGATGTTACCATGCTAGGTCTGGGATTGCACTCTATAGCATGGTCAAACAGGAGTAAGCAGTTGCTCTTGACTTGAACTAAGGATCCCATAGGAAGACACGAGCTGTAGAAAGATGTGAATTCGAGAGGAAATAGTGTAATGATGGGAAGCAGTAGCGTGATGATAGGAGCTTATGGGCGTAATGTTGGTAGCAACAGTGGGTTATTGAGAAGTACAGGGTCTTTTGTGTTGGACATCTGAAAGCAATAGCAGAGTTGAATCATCCGATTATATTACTAAAATCTCCTCCTCCTTACAACAAGAATTTTGTGCATTTATATAAATATCTTTCACTGTATGAAAGACGTTACTTTTTTATCTGAAAGAACATTAGAAGATATTACGGCTGCATGGTTAAACATTCATATAGTAAGTTGTGAATTTTAACTTGAATATTGAACCCCAACAGCCTGTTCTATGAAAGCCTTTTAACAGTAAGCAGCTTTATTAATAGCTATGCACATGTAGCTTTTCTGTTCTATTTGCACTATTTTCATTGGTTTATATTTTCATGCAAAACATGGGTTCTCAGATGTTCATAGGTAAACTGCAATCTAATATTTTTGATTTTACAGTATCTCCCCTTCTGATTTCTTCTATATGATTTTCATAAAGTCACCTGACATAAACTGTCCACATATCATGATGACCTTTCCTGGAGAGGAAATGCCTCTATTTTGCAGGCAGTGAAAAAAATTCATGAGAATTACAGTAACTGGTAATTTCAATAATGGTAGTGAATATAAACTTTAAGCAATATTTTGTGATTTTTTTGAATGCATGTTAACTGCAGGAAATGTGTAGCACCTAAAAGATGATGACCAGCAGCTTCAGAAATGTAGCTCATTGAGTTTATCTACCTCAAATCCAGAAAGTTTTTGATGATTCTCCTTCTCATTGAAATAGGTTTTAATGAGTTAGATCAAGTCTGCATCAAGAGCACTTTGCCAGTTTATTTATATTAGCA